TTGAAAAAGCTTGGATCAGATTGCCAGGCGGGACGTTGGATTTGATGTCTGATATTAACTCGGCGCCCAAATATTGGGAAACTATTCGTTCAAATTTGGACGAAAGTTCTTATTTATATGATATACAAGCTGTTTTTAGTAATAGACACTCAACATTGTATCAGTTCCTTAATCACCAAATATCCAACCAGTATCCTTTCTTTGCCAATTTATCAGTATAATAATTATATTTTCCTGAATTCTACCTGAACTAATATAAATTGAACTAATTGCTTTCAATGCTTAATTTTATAAACTTTTTAAACAATAATCCTTTTTTACTACTAATACTACTACTAAATGTTTATTCAACAGACTTTTAATTTAATCATAACGATAGTATCATATATCAATATTTATATTTTGGATGTTAATGTGTAGAGTTTTATTACAGACAGTTATCTATACTCCACAGTATTGTCTCGCTGATAGACGCCTGTATGAAGGATGAATTACTGTCTATATTCATTTCAAAGTTTATTCTAAGTCTTGTATTTCTTTCCAATTATCAATTTAGACTAGTTACATAATCCTCTTCAAAAACAAAGTTGTATACAATCAAGTTAGAAACTAAACTTACGTAAAGATAAACATTTGAACTTCTATTTATTAAATAATCACTGAATAATAAACTAATCTAATAACCATTTTCATCATCATTTATTTTATTAATTTTTACTAACATGTGATATAATTAGCTAATAGTTATAATTAATTTAGAATACGAATATTCGTCAAGATTAGAACGAATAGTTTGATAGAAATTGAGCGCCGATTATAGGGAAGAATTATTACCCTGAAGAAGTCCAGACCAGTTAGCTGGACGAAACGTTGGAATTATTATTTAAATTTCAATCTCTGAAATTATTTCAAATATAATTTTCACATATAATAACTAATTTAGAATAGTTCAATTAAACCATCCATATCGGCGATGACAATTACTAAAAAAAGAGATAAAATCTCAACATAAAATAAGGTTGTTCTTAAAAGGTTACATTATTATCATGAGAAAAGAACAAGTAAATTGATCAATATTTGTCTTTTATGTTAATGAAAAAAAGTCAGACTAGTAGAGAACATTCATCTCAATCTTAATGTGGTGAAATATTCTTAATAGAATTTAAGTTTCTTCTATTTAGGATTTTTTTTGGGAAGATCTTTGAAGTTGACGTTATTTTCATCATTATTATTGTTATTATTATTATTAGTGGCTTTATTCAATATCATGATTTCATACAATATAGAATTCTCAGCACAAACTATTTCAACAAGTTTCCGTTTCTTATTTCTCAATCGATGCTGACGATAAATAGTGAGTGGTCGTCAATTAGATGTTAGTTGTTCAGGAATCAATATCTGAATAATGTTCATTCTTGTTAATGTATATTGTTAGCCATCACGATGTCTCTGATTGTGTTCTTTCCTAACTTGTACAGTGAAATGTCGTAAGGTTTTCATAATCGCACCTGAATAGATTATGCAATTAATTGATATAATGATATGTTGAAACAAACAAAAGACAAACAAATTGTTGAAATATCTAGATGGCAGGAACAGATAGCACATTTATTTGAACAAGCCGTCTGTATGTTCATGATAAGTGACTTTTTTTGTTAAAAATGATCAGTGACTTATTGAGACATTTGCACTAACTTAGCGTAGCCTCTTATATCGATGGTTACCCTTTTCTATTTTTACCTAATTGTTTTTATTTCATTTTTATTTTTATTTATTTATTTACATTGAATGTAACTATTATATAAGAATGATTCGATCAAACTGAAGAAAGAGAAATCGGAACATTTGCATGAATTTCAAAAGTGAATAATTTTTTTATTTTAAATCATATGATTAAGGCTTTTAATATTGATAGTTTTCTTATCTGTTGAGACTATAATTTATGGACGACCTTTGAGTAACGCTAAAATGACGTTGAAAATGTCCAGTTACTAACTAGGACTAACTGATGATTATAAACCACTGTGAAGAATTAGTATTATGATTTACAGTTGATGGTTGGGGTTCGGAATTAGATTTAATGTTTTCATTACAAACTGACATCAGCTATAATACCAAAATAGTATTCAACCAAGTGAGTTGATGAACTTCGCACTGAAATCCAAGATCTCTTATTTTAAATCTGATTGGTTCGTCCATAAATTATAGTCTCGCATCTCATTCTTAAATAATTAAAATGACTATGTGACTTGAATTTGTTATCGAAATAACCCATCAAACAAATTATGATATTGAATGAAAAATGAGCTGGTTAAGTATAAATGTCAATATAGATAATCATTTCCACACATGAATTTTCTGTTGAAATTCAACTTAACTACCTCTGTAAGGAATTCGTTAATAATCATTTTGTAGATTATTGTGAATTTACTTACTTCAATTACCAATCGAGTATAGGCCGACGAGCAACATTCTCCAACTCGTTCTGTTTTGAGCCTTCATTTCCAGTTTTGTACAATTTCTATTCATTTTTCTCATGTCTGTCTCCATTTTTCAGAGTAATGTGTTCTTTAGTCTTCTTCTACCCCTCCTTTGGCCTTGAGGATTCCATGTGAGGGCTTGTCTTATGACACAGTTGGGTGATTTTCTCAATGTGCGTCTTACCCACTTCCAGCGCTTCTTCCTGATTTCTTCCTCTACTAGGATCTGGTTTGTTCTCTCCCATAGTAGGTTGTTGCTGATAGTGTCTGACCAACGGATCCGAAGTATTTTACGTAGACAACTGTTAATAAACGGTTATATCTTTGGGAAGATGACATTCATAGTTCTCCAAGTTTCCGTCCCATACAGGAGAACTGTCTTGACATTTGTGTTGAAAATTCTGACCTTGGTGTTGGTTGATAGACAGTTGTTTTTAGTTCCATATGTTCTTCAATTGTAGATATGCTGCTCTTGTTTTGCCGATCCACCCCTTCACATCTGCATCAGATTCACCGTATTCTATTGTGAATTTGCAATAAAAATATTCATATTTACGAGAACTCATAAATAAATCTTTAGCAAGAATCTCTTCACACTCTGATAAATTATATTATGCTGCAATGTTTCTAAAATATCAAGTTCGAAAGCTGATAATAGGCTTTCATAAGAAACTTCATAAGAAACATTAGCTTTAAACGTTTTGTTACTTCTCTAGAGAAATAATTTTGATTTGTATGGAGTTTTTGTTTGTTCTCTATAATGTAGCATCAACATTTTTTAATATCAAACTTGTTTTTTCATCACCATTGGTTTCCCCTTTTTTATAATCAGACAATGAGTGGTCTCAAATCATAGCTCAGACTGAAACACCTAAAAGACTGCATTTTTTCAATCACAAAAAATTTTGAAAAAAACAAACCATTTGAGCTTATCGTTAAAAAGAATACGTTCATATTCATGTTTGAACTCCAGTATGTCAACCGCCGAATAGATCAATCATTAGAGAATATTTAAAAGAAATTGATATTCTATAGAAGTTTTACTTTGCAAAAAGTGTGTTTGTAATCGATATATATCACACCTAAACGCAGTAGAAAATCACACGTACCAAACAGCTAACTTAGATTAAATTAACACTATTAGTAATAACCATTACAAAACTTGATTCTTGGTTCGAGATCGTATATAACCATATGTCTGCATCATTGAAAAACCTGAAACTTAATGAATAAACTTCCAGTTGTTAAAACATTTTATAGCATGATCTAAATTCGGACTAATTTATCCAATAAAAAAATTCTTTTATTAAAACATAATTTACATAATCAACATTTCATTTCACTTGAAAATTCTTATTTCAAAAGTTGAGATCATGAGTCAATTGAAGCTAGACCACCATGAAAAACATAGAGGAACTAGGTGGCCATTTCGTCCTATTATGGGACTCCTCAGCAGTGTGCATCCACTATCTCGCCTCTTGAGATTCGAACCCAGGACAATCTCCATGAAACCCATTCTGATACGAATATTCTTATATTAAAGTAAAATAATTCAATCAAGCAAATAGAATAGAATAGTCCCTTTGATAAATTTCGATAATGCAATGAGAAGACGAAGTTTGTCAGAATTATGTGATATATATACATAGAATTCCGATGGTCAAATCAGGTCACACGATAGACAGACATTATCCTCCATTGCGGAACATTTGATTGAGACTGGTCATAAAGTTGATATCAAATCAGTATTTGAAGTGTTATACAAAAACCTTCAAGGATGTAAACTAAGGTTTATTGAAGCCTTGGCTATACGGAAACTGAAATCCCCTTTCTGCGTTCAAAAACAATTTGTCCTTACACTTAACCTACCTTGGTAATACTAATTTATTATCCAGAGTGGTAATCACATTGTTTTTATTCTTTGTTACGACTTACCTTTAAATTGTCTAGTTGACCTTTTAATTTTCATATAAAAATGTTTTAACAAGTATATTATGTGTGATCAGATTGTTCGAAATGTACTGCACAAATATATCACATAATTCTGATAAACTTCGTCTTCTCATTACATTATCGAAAAGAAGGAAATAGATAAAAAAAACCAACCTCAATCAATAAACAATAAATAATTGAGTGGTTAAGCGCTCGCATGCAAGACTGATAGGTCCTGAGTTCGAATCTTGCTAGCGGGATATTGGATGCGCATTGCTGAGAAGTTCCACAATAGGACGAAACGGCCGTCCAGTTCTTCCAGATTTTCCATGTTGGTATAATTCCAAATGACTCAAATGATCTCAACTATTGAAATAATAATAAGCACTTTCAACTTGAGTCATCTAAACAATTAAATTATTATTCCATTGAAAACAAGGACAAATAAATAACATACTACTATAATAGATACATGTACATACAACATTTCAATTATCAGTAATTGTCTATTTATTACGTTACTTTGTTATTATTTTCTTTTTATTGAAACGTAAAATTGAAAATACAAATAAAGTAATCAGGAAAATAATGATTCATACGTAAATTCAATTTATTTCTTTTTACTTATATTAAATTAATTTTATTCAATTAAATTCTAGAAGTTTCATTATTATTATTATTATCATTATTGCTGTTACTACTACTACTACTACTACTACTACTACTACTACTACTACTACTACTACTACTACTACTACTACTACTACTACTACTACTACTACTACTACTACTACTACTACTACTACTACTACTACTACTACTACTACTACTACTACTACTACTACTACTACTACTACTACTACTACTACTACTACTACTACTACTACTACTACTACTACTACTACTACTACTACTACTACTACTACTACTACTACTACTACTACTACTACTACTACTACTACTACTACTACTACTACTACTACTACTACTACTACTACTACTACTACTACTACTACTACTACTACTACTACTACTACTACTACTACTACTACTACTACTACTACTACTACTACTACTACTACTACTACTACTACTACTACTACTACTACTACTACTACTACTACTACTACTACTACTACTACTACTACTACTACTACTACTACTACTACTACTACTACTACTACTACTACTACTACTACTACTACTACTACTACTACTACTACTACTACTACTACTACTACTACTACTACTACTACTACTACTACTACTACTACTACTACTACTACTACTACTACTACTACTACTACTACTACTACTACTACTACTACTACTACTACTACTACTACTACTACTACTACTACTACTACTACTACTACTACTACTACTACTACTACTACTACTACTACTACTACTACTACTACTACTACTACTACTACTACTACTACTACTACTACTACTACTACTACTACTACTACTACTACTACTACTACTACTACTACTACTACTACTACTACTACTACTACTACTACTACTACTACTACTACTACTACTACTACTACTACTACTACTACTACTACTACTACTACTACTACTACTACTACTACTACTACTACTACTACTACTACTACTACTACTACTACTACTACTACTACTACTACTACTACTACTACTACTACTACTACTACTACTACTACTACTACTACTACTACTACTACTACTACTACTACTACTACTACTACTACTACTACTACTACTACTACTACTACTACTACTACTACTACTACTACTACTACTACTACTACTACTACTACTACTACTACTACTACTACTACTACTACTACTACTACTACTACTACTACTACTACTACTACTACTACTACTACTACTACTACTACTACTACTACTACTACTACTACTACTACTACTACTACTACTACTACTACTACTACTACTACTACTACTACTACTACTACTACTACTACTACTACTACTACTACTACTACTACTACTACTACTACTACTACTACTACTACTACTACTACTACTACTACTACTACTACTACTACTACTACTACTACTACTACTACTACTACTACTACTACTACTACTACTACTACTACTACTACTACTACTACTACTACTACTACTACTACTACTACTACTACTACTACTACTACTACTACTACTACTACTACTACTACTACTACTACTACTACTACTACTACTACTACTACTACTACTACTACTACTACTACTACTACTACTACTACTACTACTACTACTACTACTACTACTACTACTACTACTACTACTACTACTACTACTACTACTACTACTACTACTACTACTACTACTACTACTACTACTACTACTACTACTACTACTACTACTACTACTACTACTACTACTACTACTACTACTACTACTACTACTACTACTACTACTACTACTACTACTACTACTACTACTACTACTACTACTACTACTACTACTACTACTACTACTACTACTACTACTACTACTACTACTACTACTACTACTACTACTACTACTACTACTACTACTACTACTACTACTACTACTACTACTACTACTACTACTACTACTACTACTACTACTACTACTACTACTACTACTACTACTACTACTACTACTACTACTACTACTACTACTACTACTACTACTACTACTACTACTACTACTACTACTACTACTACTACTACTACTACTACTACTACTACTACTACTACTACTACTACTACTACTACTACTACTACTACTACTACTACTACTACTACTACTACTACTACTACTACTACTACTACTACTACTACTACTACTACTACTACTACTACTACTACTACTACTACTACTACTACTACTACTACTACTACTACTACTACTACTACTACTACTACTACTACTACTACTACTACTACTACTACTACTACTACTACTACTACTACTACTACTACTACTACTACTACTACTACTACTACTACTACTACTACTACTACTACTACTACTACTACTACTACTACTACTACTACTACTACTACTACTACTACTACTACTACTACTACTACTACTACTACTACTACTACTACTACTACTACTACTACTACTACTACTACTACTACTACTACTACTACTACTACTACTACTACTACTACTACTACTACTACTACTACTACTACTACTACTACTACTACTACTACTACTACTACTACTACTACTACTACTACTACTACTACTACTACTACTACTACTACTACTACTACTACTACTACTACTACTACTACTACTACTACTACTACTACTACTACTACTACTACTACTACTACTACTACTACTACTACTACTACTACTACTACTACTACTACTACTACTACTACTACTACTACTACTACTACTACTACTACTACTACTACTACTACTACTACTACTACTACTACTACTACTACTACTACTACTACTACTACTACTACTACTACTACTACTACTACTACTACTACTACTACTACTACTACTACTACTACTACTACTACTACTGCTGCTACTACTACTACTGTTGCTATCACTGTTTATAGAGGCAGTATTAGTATAATTGTTTTCACTTAGTTGTAATCGTGAAGATAGTAAGAAAAATAAGACCGTGTTGATGCCAAATTGTCTTTTATTATAATTATGTAGTTATTCATTTGCTTTTAACAGAATTATGACTTATTCAATTCAATATGCTTCAGGGTTAGATAGGAAGAGGTATATATATGTGTGTGTGTGTATGTACGTGTATAAATGGTTAACTTAATATTCTATTAACCAGTGACCTGTTATGAAAATACATAAGAAAGTGTTCATTTCATATCAGTTAGAGGGAAATATGATAATTGCTGGTATTTTTCTAGTGAATTTATTGATTATTAGTTTAGAAAATTGTTACAATTCGGTTTTTGAATGAGTGAGTAAAGTATAGATAGGATAAAGAAACCTTTTTTGTAATGATTGATTATAGAACATTAATGTGCAACTTAAGTGCAAAAACATTCTTACATAAAAGTATTGGACAGTTGATTCATTCCAGTATAGGATTTATAGCGACTCACGTGCAAATGAGTTTAGTCTCATCTAACGCAGTTAAGCCCTTTTGCTAACTCATTTAGTGGACAAAGTTATCCGCACTATAACAACTTATTGTACCGTTATTATTTTGTGCTTGTATGAAATACGTATGCTTGAATATTGCTTACGCCCTACTCATTTATTCACTCTGCTAGTCTTACTACTAACTGATTATTTGATTCGATTACTCATTCATTTCACATGCTATATATATGTCCATGTTATTCATACTCGCCCACACACACCTCTCTCGTCTCGCTCTTGCTATGGCTCTCGCTCGCTTGCTTGCCTTTCGGCACGACTCTTCTATGCTTGTTTAACGCATCTGTACATTTGGATATATGTGTGTGGTCTCGTAATAAACGTAATCAACACTTCGTATTTGCCTTCTGATTAATATACCGTTGGGACGTTATATAGAACGGTTATCAAGACGAACTGTATACGAAGTTTAAGGATTATATCGAATACCGACCACCACAGATTCCTCAGCATTTTACATCCATGACCGTGTGCACAAGAATCGAAACTAGAAGATTCTGACCCGTACGCCAGCGCTTAACCTTTAGATCACTGAAACGACATCTAACGGTGATAATTAGTACCTAGTTTCGACAGGTAATTCTCGGAGTTCTAGTGAGAAGATGTGAACAGTGGAGTTCAGCCATGCCGGATTTGAGGCAGTTACTTACTAAACACAATGGACGATAGTTATGCAATCTCATAGACTGATTGAGGATAGACACTGACACTGTCGGATGTCGACTTTGTGGTTTAGAGGTTAGTCAGTGAATGGAATTTTCAAATATTTTGCATTCAACAACGATAAAATAAACTAATTGACTTATTCTTTAGTTCAAGAGAAAACTCTAGTACCACTAACAATTATTACTTACATCAATACACCGTTAGAAGTCAGCTTTTTGATTTAGAAGTTAGATGTTCTCACGTGAGACCGAAGATCTTGTGTTCGATTCCTATGTGTGCGGTTGTAGATGCACAATACTGAGGAGTGTCATACTAGAACGAAACGGAAGTCAAGTGTTTCCAGGTTTTCAATTGTAGCTTAATACTGATCGGTTAATGATTTCAATAATAGTCAAATATCTCTATTTCACTAATAATGTCACCAAATTAGGTTATCACATAAGTGAAACGTATAGTAAGGTCATTGGCTAGATTCGGAAGCAATCATATTATTACATTCTTCCCCTAGTGAACATTATTTTTAATTTTACAACTCATGCCGCAAATAAACTCATGAAAAACAAATGAATAATGGATAAACATAGTTCTCATGGACAATTTCAAACGATATGTAAAAAACTTATTTCTAGAATATAATGAAACGATGTCGATGAACATTTTCTCACTAGTTCCAAGAAGTTCTAATTTAAAACTGATTCAAAAATACTGCTGAAAAGTTCCTAGTTGATTTACATTCTCTATTCAGTAATTATTTCAAACAATATTCTTTCATAAATCAAGACAATAATCTTAATTGGTGACTTATTATTACTTTTGTCTATCCTTTGATTTCATAATTGAGTAGAAATTTCGGCGAGACTCTAATTTATGAACGAGTCGTCCAGAGGTGTTTTAAGGATTTCAAGGTTACAACGCCAACGTCAGTGCTTAATGCTAACGTACGATCGGTTCAAAGGGAATTTTGTACAAAACGTGATAATTGAGCGGCTATAACAAATAAAACGGTGGGACTATAATTTGTGGACGAATCAATGAGGTATAAGATAATAAATCTCGAATTTTAACGCGAAAGCTTCTCATCCATTTGGCTAAATAAATTTCTGTCATGATAGCTGATGTCAGTTCGTGATGAAAACCACATATATAATTCCCAACTAAGGCAAATTACGAAAATTATTGCGAACTGGATAATAAAAGCACCAGTAGAACTGGCTGCATCCAGGTACTACTATATATACGGATGTTTGGCGAGCGTACAGACCCCAACGTAGGCTTGCTTATGTCCATTGTGTCGTTATACACAAGTAACATTTAGTGGTCTCAACAACCGGAGTGCATATAAACATTACTGAAACTACGTTGTCGAGGCTGAAAGACTTTTTCAGACTTTATCATGGCTCCAGATGCCGACTATTCTGTAGCCGTATGAATGATTCCCTCTACCGTATGCATTACGATTTTAGAACCTCTAAACCTCTGAACCTCTTTCTAACCTTGACAAGTTTTTGAACCACTTATAAGGAGTGTATCCACTTTATTTTCTTGGTTTTGTATAATATATTTTTATTCTATACTGACTGCTTGCTGATTGGCTAATATTTCTCAAGGTTACTTAAGATTCGTTCAAAGGTCGTCCATAAATTAGAATCTTGCCAATAAGCAAATTCATACTTTTAACTCATTGTGATACTTTTCCAATGTTACTTACGTGTTTAGTTCAATATGGTGATTATTTAGTGTAATATTGTGGTGTCGGTTACATATATCCACACAATTAGTATATAACGGTGGTCAGACATAGAATGTATTTTAGTAGAAGGTCGATGAGGAAGGAACGGGAACAGAACGTAATTGGTATGAAAATGCATGAACAATGAAATCTGAGACAATGGATCGATATTTGCAGCAGAAATAGTCAAGTTTGAGATGATAGATTGATATTTTGTAAATTAACAATTTACTATATGGTTCTCAGATTTTGATGAGATGCTCTGTAATTTTGTGCTCAAATACATTCGATTGTTTCCACTTGTATTCTGTTCACTACAATATTTGTTTTATTTTTCAATGTGACATTCTATTCAGTGTAACATTGTTTTACTTTAGTATTATGGTTATTCAAGATATGATATTTTTGTATTAAATTAACGCATGCTATAATAACAGTATGACATGCAACGTGCTATTTTGCTATAATTTCATATATGTGACCTTTTACTAATTAATTATCAAATGTGTATTAAAATCAATATAAAAATGAGTTCATTTCTTCAGTATCAGTCTTCCGTATTCTTACTTTTACGTCATGTGAATTTCAGTGGATCCTTGTTTTAAGTACAAATAATCAGAGACGCAAATATAAAAATTCTATGACAACTGTTTTACCCTGATTATATATGAATATACTGCGAAGTAGTTGAAGTACTAACCCTAATATGAATCAGAGAAAATTATAACAAACTGAAATGATGAGTGTATAGTCTTTCTTCAACAAGCAAATTTTTTATATACTTAATTACTTACACCTGTCACTACTCATCGAGGAGCATAGGCCACCCATTAACATTCTCCCCCGAACTCTGTCCTGGAAAATCCTTTCCAGTTGCTATTCATTCTTTTGATGTCTGTCCCCATTTCCTGACGCAATCTGCTCCTTAGTCTTCCTCTTTTCTTTTTGTCATCAGGATTTCAATTTAGGTCTCGCCTAATGATACAGTTTGATGATTTCCTAAATGTATATCCCACTCCTCCTTTCCTGATTCCTTATTCCTCTAGAAGCTACATTGTTCTCTGACATAGTAAATTGTTGCTGATGGTATCCGGTCAACAGACATTCAGTATGTTGCATAGATAATTGATTATAAATGCTTGTACCTTTTTGGTTGTAGTAGTTCTTCAAGTTTCGGCTTCATACACCAGAACTGTTTTGACGTTTGTATAAAAGATTCTGACTTTGATGTTATCAGACTGTTGTTTTGAGTCTCATCTGTAGCTCTTCTTGGGTTACTGCTGGTCCGAAGCCTAGATAAAGAAGAAGGGTTGTGCATGGGGTCAACAACTTTATCCTATTAAAAATAACTTGGCTAAAAAGATGCTAATGAGAAACAAGCAAATTAAATATTGTATAATACGATCTACGATATTTCATGCTTCATCAATTTTCCATACTTTATTCAGCTTTATATTCATCAATTTGCACACACTGATTATTCTTTGAACGGATCAAAACTAGCTATGAATCAATAGTTTGAGAATCTATAGCTTATCAATATCATACTGACTTAATCACAAATAAACGGTATATTAATCAATCTAATGAATATTTTATGTAGTTTGAAACAACTTACATTATTATGTTTAATAATGGATTTGTTGTTTTACAGTTTATAGTAACTGGTCACAAATTAAGTTATTTTCTAATCGACTTATTACTACATACAATATTTTTCTTTAAAGGCATGAACTTATTCAAAAATCATAACAATCTGTTAACTGTATAACTTTAGATTGTAACAAAAGAGAGTAAGTTTACTGAGGAATGTGAATAGGTTATCTTTACAGTCCAGCGAATTTAAAGTGTTGGGACTAAGTTGTCCGAACAATATTTGATTAAAAATTGATGAATGATGAAATTTTGTTTGATATTACATATAAATGATTCATCATTAGTCACAACTCTGTGTTCAGTATCTTAATCTTTTACGAGATTAAATGTTGCCTGAATACCTTTGTAGTTAAATATCAGGCCATGAAGCTGGATGATGATGATGATTGAAACCTCAAATTAGCAA